TAAAATATTGATATTTAAGACGATCGTTATTATAGTCAATTTCAATGGATGGTTCATGACAAGATAGTCCAGTAATTAGGCATAATTCTTGCATGCCGAATTTGGCAACATGGTCATCTAACTGTATCCAAAATTCATTATTTTTGCCACAATGTACAATTCGCATTATAAATTCATGTACCAAATTACTATTAAATTGTTTTTCTTGTCCCCTGAATATAACTCTGTAAACAAATTCACAAAAATTATTACACAGTAAATAACATTGTTGATCGACATCTATGAATTATACAAAATCTTTAATGTATTCACGATTTGGATACTGGACGATGGTACAGAAAACCATTGATCTGGAGAGAAAACGTATTCTAAAGACATATGCGTAAATTACACAATAATAAATAGTCTCAAACAAATATATTATTTTGTTTAAAAAAATCCAATATACAAAATGAACGTAAAAAAAATGTAAAATTGATCGTAAATAATATTTTAAAACAAATCTAATTTTGTTTAAAAAAATCACATCCTAAAACCTGAAAACAATAAAATAGAAAAAAAGAACAACAAATATTTCTCCATGCAATGTCACAATCTGTGACACTGTCACGGAGACATTCTTCGTGTGTGTCACGGAGACGCAGCGACACTTGCGTCGTCTGAAACGATTTTTTTCAATAAAATTATATTCTCGTGTCACGAACACATTTTTTTCTTTGACAACTTACTATTAATTAGCAAAAATCTTGAATAAAATTTTGGTTTGCTTACCTTTTTTGGTCCAATGAGTACTTTTTTGGAGTAAATGTGTGAGAAACTTTTCAAGTAAATGTCTTGCAAAATGAATGTTGCAAATGAGACTGTAATTAAAAAGTGTGGAGGGTGAATGCGAGGATAATGAGTGATTATGAGAAGGAGCCTCTACTTAAAAAGTGTGCATGCATATGACAAGTCCTTGTTCATTGTGTGGAGAGGTTTGAATGTCAGTAACAAATTTGTTGTGTTATGAATATTTGAGTGAATGGTTTGGATGGATTTTGTATGGGAATATATTCTTTCGTTGTTATGTTGTGAACTTTTTTTACACATTCGGATATATATATCAATGGTTTCTTTACACATCAATATTGTGACTTGTTGTCTTGCAATAATTAGAACGTTTCGACAAATTTTAATTTTATTTAATTTATTAAATCTAACCATTTTCTTTTGGAGTGTTGGCGAAAAAATATTTCTCATCCTCGTCTTTGTCATATTGATGGAATCGGTGCGTGTGTAGAAACAATTTAAAGTAGGGACAAACAAGGGCAGAGATGAGAATTCAACCATTTTGAATTTGAATTGAAGAATAAAATATGAGATTGACCCCCCATTGATTTGATAGAAGAGATGCATTTTGACAATTAATGACTACCAAAAGGGGACTTAATCACTTAATTAAATAAAAAAATTAATATTTAATTTAATTTAATTTCTTATTTAGATATTTCATTTATAAATTATCCTAATTGGTTGTGTATATTATGTATTTAATATTTCATTACCTTATTTAATTATTATTTTAATAACTTATTTGAATAAAAAAATTAATTTTAAAATATTGATTAATTATTTAAATATTTCAGTAATTAATTATCTTAATTGGTTATGTATATTATTTGTAATTAATATTTACTTACTTTATTTTAATTACTTATTTAAATAAAAACATTATACCATAATGTACAAGTGGTATAATATTATTGGAGAGTTAAAAACAATTTTTTCGATCTGCCACTCATCGAATTTCATACATCCTTATAAATTAATACACGTAAAATTATTCAATATTTAATTTGATTTCTCATTAAATATTTCTTTATTAATTACCTTAATTAGTTACTTTATGTAATTATTTATTTTAAACACTTAATCAAATAAAAAATTAATATTTAATTTAATTTCTTCTTTAAATATTTCATTAATTAATTATCTTAATTAGTTATGTATATTGTTTATTTAAATTTTATTACTTCATTAAACTATTTATTTAATCACTTATTCGAATAGAAAATTAGTATTTAATTTAATTTATTCTTTAAATATATGATTAATTAATTTTCTTAATTGATTATGTATATTATTTATTTAATATTTAATTAGAACATAAATCATACGGTGCATGAGAATATCTAGCAGAGTTGGGAGTCGAACATTAAGCACGATCACATTTTCAAGACATCGAACATTATTCAAAAATGTCGAAATTATATTTCCTCTACCAAATGAAGTCGAGTGGGAGTTCCCGATTATATTATTTTATTCTCTATCCAACGAATGTGTAATATCTATTTAAATCGTATGTATTTTCTATTTATAGTATGCTATTGATTTCCTCAATTTTCTCTATTTATAGTGGTATTATTAATTACATGAAAATTGACCCGACGAATATGTAATATCTACTTAAATCGTATGTACTCTCTATTTATAGTATGTTAATGATTCCCTCAATTTTCTTTATTTATAGTGTGTGATATATGTAATTAAGAGTAATTAATTATTTATTATACAATTACATAAAAACTAAAGTATTACAAATGTTTAAAAAAAATGCTTACAATTTAAATTATTACAACTATGGATCACAATGTACATAAAAGAATGCTTACATTTAAAAAAATGCTTACGTTTTAATGTGTGTTTAGTTTATCAACTCTACGTCACGTTCGATGCTAAAAATTTTATGTACTTCAATTAGAGTTGTCAATGGATTGGATTTTAATCCAAATCCGATTTGGATCTGATGAAATTAATGGGAGATAGATTTAGGGTCTCAATTCGATAATCCAATCGAGATTCGAATCCGATAATCTGTTAACTAAATGAATCAACGGATTGGATTTTGATCTGAATCCGATGAAATTAATGGGAGATGGATTTAGGGTCTTAATCCGATAATCCAATCGAGATTCTAATCCAATACTCGAGTAACTAAATGAATAAAATATAAATATAGGTTAATCCGATCCGTTATCACTAAAATATTTCAAGAGGAGTTTCCTTTAAAAATGAGTTAAAAGAGTATCACTTGAATTGAAAAAAAAAATTGATTTGGGCTTTCTAATATAATAAGTGAGCCCATCAATATAGTTCAAATATTTTTTAAAATAAAAAAAATAATTAAAATCTTGTTGAGTCTATGATTTTCAATGAAAAATAAATTTTTATTTATTCTAATTTTTTCAATTTCCGATAGGATTATCGGATTGGATATCCGATAACATAATAAATCGGATATGGATTTAACATTCAAATATCCGTCGGATTATTGGATTGGATCGGATTGGATAGGATAATTATTCTTAATGGATCAGATCGGATTTGAGCAGATCCGATCCATATATCCGATTCATTTATAACCCTAACTTCAATGCTAATATTCCACAATCACCCTGACTCAATTTAACGGAAGAGGTTGGGCAACGTACTGTCGACGGATGTTCTCTTCTTTGCCTCAATCATGTATGGAGAAACAATGTGTTGTGACAGCAATCTAATCCTCTTACTAACCATTTGCTCTGGCACTTCAAAACATGTTCTTACAGGGTGTCGCTTCCATTGCCATTTCCGGCATAATTGTCACGTCATCCAAAGTTGCGACATTGTCTGTCAAGTTGGGGGTCATCTCCAGCATAGTTACGTATATTAAGCCCCCATTTGGTTTTCATTCTTTCCCCATTAAAATGAAAAATATGACCGCTATCCATTACATAAAGCTACCAAATTTGAATTTTTATCTCTTGTGCGGGGTCCATAACGGCTATATTTTTCATTCTTATTCTTACAAAACTAAGAAACAAACGCCCCCTAAATAAAAAAATAATATTTAATTTATTTTCTTATTTAGATATTTCATTTATAAATTATCTTAATTGGTTGTGTGTATTATGTATTTAATATTTCATTACCTTATTTAAATAAATTTTACAATATAATTATTATTTCATAAATAAAAAAATATATACAGTTATTTCATAAATACAATTATTACAATTATTTTGTTCCTCTCTACTGGCACCTCTCCCATCCCTATTGACATTCATAACGATTTTAATGAAATATCTGTGTACACTCACCCCCTCCACGCCACCCTCCCTGTCACCATCTTCGCTACCCTCTCTGTCATTGTTTGGGACCTCATTGCTTGTCGGCTGTATCTCATCAAATATAACTCTGACCCTCCTCCTCGATCAACGGTGTCAGTTCAATGAGTACTTCAAACTGACATATTTACATTTCATCGAGTTAATGACCATGTATTGAAATTTCGAAATGACGTACAACATAAATCACAAATGAATAATACGTACCTCAGGATCGTCGATGAGAGCTGATAACTGTTATCTCTGTCCCCATAAATAGTTGTTGAATGTGTCAATGTCATCAACAACCTCCAAATGAAAAGATGTCGATTGACGTCTTCTTGTGATAACATCTCAGTATGCTCTCTAGAATACACATCGTTCCCAACTTCAAATTGTTAGACATATCATCGCATTCCCTGAATGCGTCTCCTAACTGTACTAGAGTTACCGTCGTAAGCAGAATCAACGTAACAGGTCTGCGTGTTCCTTATCCAACAAATCTAGGACTAATGTGAAGTTGACTTTGTCAGGAATCTGTTTCAAAGCGACGTTTAAATGATAATCAATTCTGTAAAATTTAAAATGTATGGACCTTGTGTAAGAGGCTATGGATAAAGCATAATATTTGAAAATTAAATTGTTTATTTACTTATTTAAATTGTTTATCGAATATTTCATTGTTAATTATTTATTTAAATTGTTCATTTAAATTATCTATTTAATATTTAAATGTGTATTTAAATTATTTAATTGTTTATTTAATATTTATTTAAAATTTACTTTATCTTTATTATGGATAAAATTAATGGTTCACTTTAACTTAAATTAAAATTTAATTTAATTTTTATCTTGCGCAAACCCCAATTGGTCAAACCCATAAACCCTAGCCACCCGCACCACAAACCCTTCCAAAACCCTCCACACTCTTGCTTCACCCTGCAAATATCAGTAGAGAGAGAAAATGCCGCTGGGAGAGAGGGCAGGGGACAAGAGCGAGTCTCGATACTGTGGAGTGGAGACAGAATTTAACGATGACATGCCTCACCTTCTCTCCTTCAACATTCATGGCGGTTTTGATTTTCTTGTCGCCCCTTTGGTTCGTATTTTTCTCAGTTATTGTAATTTTTTTTTGCTGTATTTTATTCATATTCATATTCATATTCATATTCATATCCATATCCATATCCATTTCCATTTCCAGTATTCTGTTTGACATGGTAATTGTTCTTGTACGGTTGTACCTTGCTTTTTACTAGTTATGTTCATGCATCTGTATCGCTTGATTTTCTCATGTTAAGCTCTAGGCTTTAAAGGTTGTACTTTTTGGCTTACAATGTGTCTTATGTGTGAATTTCTTTTGGGTTTGTACTTCTTGATGCAAATGTTGTACTTGTGCATGTTTTACCTTGCTAATTATTTCGTGCTGACATGCTGTATGACATCCAAGTATTTTCTTGCACTGTACTTTGAAATTTTTTTTAGTTTTTTGGGCTTTATTCTAAGACTAATTAACAACAACAGATTTGTCATTAAGTTTATCACTTTGTAAATGATAATTGAGACATTGCATAGTGGTGGTGTTGTACATTTGCATCATCTGTCGAGTGATTGAACCTTATTTTTGTGCATTCACTGGATAATTAAAGATGACCAATTACCTTAGCATTACTTTGTACATTTTGCTCCATGCATTGAATGATTGAACCTTGGGTTTGTGCATTCACTCAGTAATTGAAGGTTACCAATTAGCCAATGACGTAGTAGATTCCAAGTGTGGATGGTCAGCAAGTCACTATATCTTCGTGTGCTTAAGGGCCATTTGTGCATTGAATATGCAAAATTGTACTTATAGTACTTATGATATACGTGATTACTATCACTTGGGCCATTGGCACTACATTTCATTTCTCATTTATAAATATGTGTATATGATCGTGTAGTCGAATTTTGACTACAGAGAGTAGAATTTTTCTCTTATTCTCTGTGACATTTAATATTAATTAACGTGTATTAATTGCAACAGTATTATGTTGAAGCATGAAATGATAAATCCTAAAGTGAATAAAAAATCAGAGGTTTTCGACTGATCTATTCATGAGCCTATGAACCATCAACTTTACCTCATACTCTCTTGTACTCAAGTTCTGAGTTAGATATTATGATTGTGAAATCAATCCTACAAGATCCTGAATTTGTTGCAGAGCAGCACTTTGACTGACAAATGAGAAGAATCCTTACAGATTAAGTCTTTTTGTTCATGCCCAATCAATTTTGTGTCAATCATTTTCAATAAATTCTTTTTCAGATGCTGAATGAAAAGGTGAAAGATAAAAACATATCATGCTTGTTCAGCCAAGAGAGTTCTGCAACCAAATAGGCATCAATACTTTGTTTTCATCCCTTCTACTGGAAAGTAAAAACATTTGTGGTGCTGTGACTTGATTTTCTTATTTGGAAATACAACTCGACTAGCTGATTAATCGTTTGATTCAAATTTGACTTGGAACACCTTGGCGACCCTGAACATCTTTGGGTTTCATCTTAGAAGGTCATCTTTGGGAGTAGCCCAAGCCCTCAAATGTTGCAATTGTTTTCATTATTAGCTGATATGAGATTTTTTTCCTCAACGTTATCAAAACCCTTGCATGAAGTTATTGCTTAAGGGGTTAAAGGCATTGATTATACGTTTAATGAGAAAGTAGTTCAATTGTAATAAGTAACAAGAGATAGCCATCATAAAGCTTCTCCCAATAGATGCTTTTTTACAAACTCTTTGACTCTTCTAATAGGATTAGATGAGATTTATTTTTTATTTATTTATTATTCTTTTATTTAGGCATTGTGATATGTCCTTTATTGTATTTCATTTTTATCTTTGATTGACTTGATTTTCTTAGAACTACTCTTAAAAAGGAAAAATCGGGTACTTAGGAGTAACCAAAATGCCAAAATACAATAATAAGAATGGAATTAAACCATACACAAATTATAAAATTCCCAAAATTATAGATAAGTGTCAATGAAAGCCGTGTGTTGCAATTCAAGAGTCCATGTGTTCTATGTGTATTTTTAGGTTTTTGTCTCAACTTCAAAATTTTTATTTATTTATGGCTATTAAACAAATAATGAAAGAATTAAGGTAAGTTATAATATAAGTAATTTCCAAAGCTGTCTGATTAATATGTAATAAAGAAATTAGTAGACTTCCAAAACATGTCAACCAATAAATTTGTTATGTTTAAAAATAAGTCTGGCCACATGATTTAATAGGGGAATGCACGCCTCAAGTAGCCCATTACCAATATGTGCACTTCAGTTCAAAATTTGATATCACATTGATGAGTGACTCAATACCGCCTTTCTAAATCATGCTTAATATAAAATTATGATTTTATTGTTGCACATGCTAATTTTTATTTGGGGCCTGTGGCTAATTCGACAATCATACCTTTGTTGAATGGCTTTTGATGTGAATGGTCATTGAGCTAACCAATATTTAGAAATGGTGAATGGGTACTGGACATTTTACCTTTATGAGGCCGGCTTAAAGCCTCGCGGAACTTTGAGATGTAAACTCATACATACCAATCAAAAAAGCCAAAAATATGAAAAGCACAACAATATTCACGTGGTAAACAAACCATCTTGAAAATTTATGTTAAAAAGAATTTAACAAAATTGAAAGTCATAACTTGAAATATAAAGTAGTACACAATAAATTGTCAACTTAGTAATCACATGACAAAGTTGATCATCCACTTATCAAAATAATAATCACTTATCAAGTTAAGTTCAGTAAAGAATAAAGGGCTGATTATAAAATAATAACCAAATAGTCTTTATTTTTCCTCCATAATTCTCAAGAGCTATGTCACTTGATAGAGTGGTGTGGGAGAAGATGACTATACATCTTGAAACCAAAATGTATTAACAATGCTTTATTGAGAGTATAAATGGTTCTTATGGATTTCTGAATCATCTCCTAAGTAAGAGGTCTTCTTTTATGTTTAAAGGATCAATTCTAAGCTTTGATCAAAGTCCAGGCTGGGTGTAATATTAATTATTTAGAGAAATATTTATTGTTCATTTGCTCCCCTGGATGAATTTCACAATTGTCAAGTGAGGTAGCTAAATGATTAAAAGAAATATGCTATTTCGGCCAATAAAAATAAAATAAAGGTGAAGATGGGTGTTATGTACAATGATTGATACAAAACCTCATCCCAAATTCTGCTTTTAAAACTATAAAATGTAAAAGAAATTTAAGAATGAGCTTCCAATTGATATTGTTCACTGCAAGAAATACATATATGGATTTATTGAATTAATACCATTTGAAGTACTCACCTTTGGCATGCATTGTATGGATCATGGCGCCTTTTTGCCAATCAATGTAACAAGTTAGTTATTATTGCATATTTCACCAGCTATTTTCTACCTCTTGGGAGGCACATTGAATGTAGATAAGCTCTGTGATTTGTTTTCTGTATGAGGTGCTGTAACTTAATGCTTAGAAGTGTTTTCATTTTGTTTTCCTTGGGTGGTTGTCCTTTAGGTTGTTCTATGAGTTGTTTATTACCATTTCATAAATTACAAATATAGTGGTACTAAGCATCTCAGAATTACTGTGAAGATATCTGACGTTCTGGTTTTGTTGGAAGAAACGAATTCTCATTATTTTCCATCTCATGCATCCTTCAGTTCTTATTTTTGCATCATGTTGCAGATTGATCCCTCCTATAGACCTAGCTTAATGGACCAAGATAGTGGCGGATCAGGTGCCTTGCCATTTGCTGGGTCAGACTTGGTTCTGAGCCCTTCACAATGGAGCAGTCATGTTGTTGGTGCGTGCCTTTTTCTTTCTGCCCATTTTTTTCATAATTGATACATATCCTTGACATGTTTTTCATACTATCTTTTTGTAACTGATGCGTCATTAGATCTTCCATTTATCCTAATTAATGTTTATTTCATTTGCCAATTGATTTTTTATTTTTCTTTCAAAATCATTGCAGTTTTTGTGAAGTCTAGATTGCATATACTTTTCTTTTTCATGTCACATCGAAAGACAACTTTATGCCTTTCTCGAAGCTGGAATTAGTGAACTGAGGATATTAGCTGGAAAGCTTTACCTAGTTTGCTGCTGTATATCTGTCACAGCAACTGCTTAACTGATGAATCTAACTGCTACATAGGCAAAATTAGCTCATGGATTGACTTGGATTCTGAAGATGAGACACTCCGTATGGATTCTGAAATTGCTTTGAAGCAAGAAATAGCTTGGGCCTCTCATCTATCTTTGCAGGTGAAAATGTTTGTTTATTTATTTTTGTTGTATAACATACATTGCATTTATTCTGATTAAAATTATTCAGCTGGTTGCCATATCTACAATTCATGTATATGTATGTACTGAGGACCCTTTATATAGGTTATTCGTTTGTCTCAGGCTTGTCCCTCCTTTTACTAGGGTCACATTGATGTTCCAGTTAGTCACACCCATCGTTCTCTTAGTTGCCTAAGAAGCTATGTTTTTCTCTGCAGGCCTGTCTTCTTCCAACACCAAAGGGATCTTCCTGTGCTAATTATGCTAGATGTGTTAATCAAATTCTGCAGAACCTAAACAGTATGCAGGTACCATCTTTTTTCTTTCTTTCTAGTAATATTTAGATGTATTTTATGTCTCTCCTATTTCATCTTTTCTTACAAATTACTTCTTTGTTAAAGTTGTGGCTTAGGATCCCACTGGTGAAGTCAGATGATGAGACCAGGAACCCTGATCATATGGTGAGTTACACCCCACAGTTTTGTTTTGCATAGATAAAACATTATTTTGAAATCCCTTCTGGGTTTTTTATGTCTATTTTGAGCCACCCATTCCGTCCTCAATTTATGGAATCATCTGGTGTTCAGATCCAACCCCATTGAGTAACTTCAACAAATCTGATGAAACTGTTGTGATTGCAACTCTTAAGAGAAAATTGGAAGAATGACTTCAATTGACAGTTTTAGATTTGAAAGTCCTAGCCATACTTAGCATGATATTGGGACAAAATCATGCTTACCTTTTTTTTTATTTTGATTCTTGTTTGAAAGGATAGTTCGTCCATAACGGGGAAAGAAATGGAGCATTCAAACCAGTGCATGAGACTTTCTTTTCACATGAAACAGAATCCAATCTATTATCCATTTCGTTACCTGTTATCTCCTCTTGTTGTTGCTGCTGCTGCTGGTGTTGGTGGCGGTAGTGGTCTTCTTGTTGGGAGAAGGGGATGAGATTGCCTGTGTTGGAGCTTGATCTCTCGTGTCAATTGCTTAATAATATTTTAACTTCCAGATGTATTGCATGGTAATTATTCAACAATTACCTTCAATAATTGCTTAGTTACATAGTGTGTCTATTTTTGCATAACAGGGTGAAGGACAGACTGATACATGGGAATTATGGAATTCATTTCGCCTTCTTTGTGAACATCATAGCCAGTTGTCAGTTGCACTCGATATACTGTGAGTATACATAAATCTTATGATCTATAATGAATTTTTTCATCTGCATGTCTGTTTAATGGCTACATCTTTCTGTTTGTTGTCTGACAAGCTTACTTATTATTTGTTAGGTCCACATTACCTTCACCTACTTCACTTGGCCGGTGGTTTGGGGAGCCTGTCAGAACAGCCATAATCGACACCAATGTAAATTATTCTTTAATAATTTATTTATTTATTCTTTATATGATGCAAGATTTGCCTTTCTACTTTCAAGTTAATGCATCCTTTTTTTTTGATGTTGGATTGCTGCCAGACTTTTTTAACCAACGCACGACATTATCCTTGTCTATCAAGGAGTCACCAGGGACTAACAACTGCATTTTTCAATCACTCAATTCAGGTAAGTTATGATGCATAACCCTTGCAGCGCTATTATCTGCCCTTCTTAAATGTTGGCTTGCATTGGTACTTGCTATGCTGCAAAATATTTTTTTATTTGGTACCCATTGTAAAATTTCATTTGAGAGCATCGTCCAATTAAATTCCAACTTCTTTTACACCTTTACTATAATAGTTTATAATTGATATATTCTATTGATGCTACCTATTGATTGATTGATTGATCGATTTTTTTTCCCCTTATAATTGCACTTTTTTATGGATTGTAATGTAATGACCCATGTTGTTGACATCTGTGTTAAATTCATTTTATTTATGCCATTTTCCTTTGATATTTTGCAGATAGTGATTTCTGGGGAACCAGTTCATAATCCTCCCATGGCGAGGAGTTTGGAGTCAAGCGGTAGTGCTGATAATAATAATGAAGGTGAGAGCTAGAATGTAAAATTAAAATCACAGTGTTATTTGAAATTCAATTTCTTTCTCTCTCATTGTTGATTTTTCTGGATATATAATGACAGTGTTAGTTGTTCCAATTAGGTGGTTGGAGACATCCCTTGAAGTCATACTTGGATTATCTTGCTTACCTCTATCAAAAGATGGATCCCCTTCCTGAACAAGAACGCTTTGAGGTGGACACCTTTTCTCTCTCTTCCCTCCCTGCCCTCTGTTGCATGATGCATTGTACTTTGCTTACATCTTATATGTTTGACTTCTTAATTGCATTTTTTTCAGCTCGGATACAGAGATTACTTACAATCACCCTTGCAGGTGAGTCGTGTCTAACTTAATTTTCATCTTCATTTTTATTTATTTCTTCACATTTTTTTTCTCCATTCTTTTTAGTGGGATTTTTCCCTAACACCTAGAGTTGTTGCATCCTTTGTTCTGAACTTCCCTTTGCAGCCTCTTATGGATAATCTAGAAGCCCAAACATACGAAACATTTGAAAAGGACACAGCTAAATATATCCAGGTATGTTCTGTTGTATGTGGCTAAATGCTAAGATATTCTTCTAGTAATTTCAGTTCATCTCGTTTTATACTTTAGTTGTTAAGGTCAATTTAACGGTCTTAAGCTTTTGGATTGGACCTTCCACGTGCCCCATCATAGAAGCTCAATAGTAAACCTAAAATGGAAAGGAAAATTAAAAAAAATATGAAGTTTAGATTCTATACTTGCATGCTTCTAACTTATAATATACAATTTCTTCTTTATGTTAATTTTCGAGTCATAATATGCAGTATCAGAGAGCAGTCTCTAAAGCATTGCTGGACAGGGTTCCTGATGATCAAGCATCTACAGTTATAACTGTAAGTTGGTTTCATGATGATTTTAGTAATTTGACATCAATAATATACCATCATGGTGGTATTAAGCTGTAAATATTATTATCTTATTCTTTTCTTTTTCGTTTGCTTTAGGTATTGATGGTTGTTGGTGCTGGACGAGGACCTCTTGTTAGAGCTTCACTGCAGGTCTGTTCCTGGAAAAAAGTGGAAACTAGCTGAAAATATGAACTTTGCATGTGCTAAACTCTTCACTTAATTCTATTTTTCTTTTTCCTCTGATCAATAGGCAGCTGAAGAAACTGGACGCAAAATAAAAGTTTTTGCTGTAGAAAAAAATCCAAATGCAATCGTAACACTTCATGTAAGTTTAACTTGTCAGGCATGCTATCACGTGCAAACAAGTTGCATGATTTGGTTGTGTACTTGTATGTAAGTGTCACTTTATTTGTAGGCTGAGTAACTGTATTTTTATGTGCTGAAGGATACACGATTTCTGAGTTTTACATTCTCTTAGTTACAATTCAGCTTACTTATTGGTGATCTACGTTCAGAACTTGTTAATATGCTCTTGATTGCTATTTTAACATCTTTTTAGCTTCCATAGTTGCTTTTATACTTCATTAGATCTTCTCCCCATCTGTTTCCATATACACTACTCTCTTGATTGTACTTTTGTCTTTTGATATCTTTGCTTAAGCTCCATAACTCCTGGCAGCAGATCTTCCTTCAATTTATCCTATTAAGAGTTGAAGTTTGTGTTTATTTTTTCCACAATATATAATATGCTATTAGTGATGCACATTTACTGAAACAGAGTTTGGTGAAGCTAGAAGGCTGGGAAAAGCTTGTTGCCATAGTTTCTAGTGACATGCGTCAATGGAATGCTCCTGAGAAAGCTGACATATTGGTATGCAGAAGATCATGGACTAAATTCCAGTGAAAAATTATTCTTACATTTAACTATGATTTACACTTCTGGAAATTATATCATGTATTTTGTCTTTTTGATAACCTAAGGTCAGCGAATTGCTGGGTTCTTTCGGTGATAATGAGCTCTCACCTGAGTGTCTTGATGGAGCTCAGAGGTTTTTGAAGGAAGATGGAATCTCAATTCCATCATCGTAAGTATTTGTTCCATAAAGATGTCTTACTATTTATTTGTTACAATCAGTTGGCAAGATCTGTAGGTTCCATTAATTACATGGTTCTAATGTACAGTACCCATCATCCTAATGGGCCTAGTCTTGTCTCTGGATTGCAGTTCATAGGCATGCTTATATGCTATTAGATGGATAAAGTTTGCTTTGCCTTTTGGTTCAACAGTATCTGTTGGATAAAGGCTATTTTGGTACTGTGTTATTCTGGCCTTGAGTGTTTAATCTACTTAGAATTTTGCATTTAAGATCCATCTTTGTTAGTGCATAAATTCTCTGATGTTATCTAGTTTATTGCTTATCAAATTCTAACAGCAGCTACACATCAGTATTCAATAGTTTCAGGTTGATGGTTTATTACTATTCTGTCAAATGTGATTGTTTTATGTAATTTTGTGAAATATGATTAGATAATACACCATTGTTATGTCAATGATATTTCCAATACGGATTGACAGGCAAAACCAAAAACTCTCTGGAAAATGTATATTTCATTATAGCCTAGTTTATTGGTGGGAGTTGTTTTCATCTTGTGTATTCACCTGCTTACGTTATCTTCTCTGACGCTTCTCAAGGAGAATCTTTGGGAATAGCACGAGTCTGGAATGTGTGAGAGTAAAATTTCTAGACATTATATACTGGGAGTTATCAGCAATAAACTTGAAGCAAAGAATGTTGATTGCATAGTAGAACTGGAACGTCCTTTTACAATGGTTACCTTACCATTATAAGTTGTCTTGATGTTCACCTTACATTTATCTATTCACATTTCTTTATGCTGTGCTCATTTCAGGTATACGAGTTTCATTCAACCTGTGACTGCTTCAAAATTATACAATGATGTAAACCGTCTTTCTTAATTTACAAGCCCAGCATAATGTTTGGTTTGCATGCATACTTTTTTCATACTCATGTCTCTTACATTTTGATGGCTTTATTTTGGGAATGCTACAGATCAAGTCACATAAAGATCTTGTGCACTTTGAAACGGCTTATGTTGCTAAGCTGCACCGTATTGCAAGGCTTGCTCCAACTCAATGTGTAAGATATATATATGTATCTATATATCTATGTATATATGTAAATATGTATCTATATAGGGGTGTGTGTGTGTGTGTTTTTTTTTTTTTTTTTGGGTTGAAACTTGTTGATATTTGTAGAATGGAAGATCTTTTTGTCTAGTGTGCATGGAAGTTCTAGCAATTCTCATATACATACATACATACATACATACATACATACATACATACATATATATATTATTTATTTATTTATTTTTTGGGTTGAAGCTTGTTGATATTTGTAGAATGGAAGATCTTTTTGTCTAGTGTGCATGGAAGTTCTAGCAATTCTCATCCTTCTATTATTTCCATGACCAGGTCTTTACATTTATTCATCCAGAGCATTCTACTAAGAACAGCAATCAACGATATAAGAAGCTTCTGTTCGATATATCTCCCGATACTGGGTCAGCCATTGTTCATGGTATGTGGTCGAAAAGCCTGACTGTTTTTATTGCTTAAATTTCCCAGGTAGTTTTGAAATAGAAAGAGAGAATGATAGGGTACTTCAGAACCATCCCTTGGAGACTTAAGTTGCAAATTTTTGTTTGCTAAAATTAAACCCACAGTAAAAATGGGTAAAAAGAGCCTTTCATCAAAGCAGAGGATTTCAAATATATTAAAAACGGTTGCAAATATGTATTTGTTTGACTTTGTATTTCTGCCTGGCTAATAGGATTTGCTGGCTATTTTGATGCAACACTTTACAAAGATGTCCATCTTGGTATCGAACCATCAACGTCAACACCAAACATGTTCAGCTGGTACAGCCATAAGTTTCTACGAGAATATATTATATATTTTTTATTTTATTTTGGTTTTTTCTTCATGAATGTTTCCTGAAGTCCAGATTATGCTATATGTTGAATGCTGATCATGTAAAATTTTGCACTCTTTTCTGCTTCTCATTGTATCTGTAGGTACAGTTTGTCTTGTTATGCGTTGGTCCCACATTCATTATTGAAGATATCATTGTAAAGAATATGGAAATATGGGACACCCTCCTACCCTCCCCCAACCACCCAAAAAAGCAAAAGTGAAATTGAAGTGTAAAGAAACCTTGTACATAAAGTACACCGTGAAAGAAAATGTGCATTGGAGTATTATTGTGCTTGAGATATGATTGCTCTATTTTGGTTGGGTTCGATGTCTACAGGTTTCCAATTTTTTTCCCATTGAGGACGCCAGTATGTGTGAAACCGAATACTCCGTTGGAGGTCCATTTTTGGCGTTGTTGTGGTTCTATCAAGGTAGCTCACTTAACTGGGTTAACGTATTTTGTATAGCATCTTAATTCATATTTATGTAGTAAAATAGACTTGGTGCTGTTTACTGGTCAGATAATCATCTCTAATTTGTTTTGGTTAGTAGGGTTTGATCCAACTAATTTTGAAATGTCCTTGCATAAAAACACAGTAAAAAACAGAGAATATGGGTTGGGGATTACTTAACTGTCTATTCTTCACCTGATATTGTCGTATTTAATTTAATGATGACAGGTTTGGTACGAATGGTGTGTGACATCTCCAAGTGCATCTCCTATGCACAACTCCAATGGTCGCTCACACTGGGTCGGCCTCTAGGGTTTTTGTGGCAAAATGTGTGTCAAGAAAATCCATTCCTGTAAGCTGGAGCGAGATGACCCAAACTCTGTTGTATACTAGTTGAACTAAGAGTAGAATTTTGAATGAAATTCTGTATGTCCGTCGAGTGAAGTGTAACGCCCCAATTTTACTATAAATATCGGAACGTTACGAAAAACTTAGTTTTCCTTAAGTTAAATGTGAAAATATAAAAATAGAATTCTTTAGTAAACAATAACTGCAATACTTATAAATTTAAATTTGAAAACATGAAAATCGTATCTAAACATAAACATAAACTCTTAGCAAATTCAAATAACACATTCTGAATAAATTAAACTAACTGATAAATTTCAAAAACGGCAAACCTATTATTTCTTTTTCTCTATTTTTAATTCACTTGACAGCTCGCATTACCAATTCGCCACTATTCCAATCGGCCCGAACTAACCTGTAAAATTAATGTAAGAGTGAGTATTTAAAATACCTGATAAGATACTTGCAATTTTTGTACACTATTACATAACAAATAAATTATACACTTCATACCGCTATTCTCTTATGGAGTATTTCGGTAATCAAGTGACACGCTCATTTTAGATTCTCTTAAATTCCCGTAAAAATATTATTATCTCTTTCTCTAGAACTCGAAGGTCCATTAGTAATCCATGTATGCTAATTGTATATAAGAGTATAAGGAAAATTAAAACACTTTGCACATAAATGTATCTTGCCTCGTTTTTTTAAAAAAAAATAATCTGAAATATGTTGAAATTTTTTCCTCCGCCTTGAAAGTATGTGATTAAAATATTTGATATTTCCAAAGTTATTCTCTCTCTCTCTCTCTCTCTCTCTCTCTCTCTCTTCATTTTCTCTCTCTCATTTTCTTTCTTCTCTCTCTTTCACGTGTGAATACTTTTGGCGTGGTAAAATATGAGATCCTTGCCTAGTATTTATAGTACTAAAAAGTTGTTGAGTTATTCTAGAAAACATGTACCATGAGTCGGGATAAGGTTGAGTTTAATTAGTAGAATTAGATTGAATCACCAAAGTTTAGCCTAATCATACTAAGGATTAATATTAAACCAATAAAAAAAATATTAATAATTTAATATAAACCTTACCCGTTTCTAGAAAGAGGAAAAGAATAAGATTATAACTATATAAAATTCTATTTATCTTGTTTTCTTTCAATTGGATATAACTTAATACGTTCTTATCCAAAATAACTTTTCTCGGGTCATAGACTTATAATTAATTACGACCTTTGAAATGAGTTTAATATTGATATACATATCATTACTTTATCAAAATCCAATTACTTGTCCCCAAATATATAATATATTAATATTTATTTCACCTTAATCCCTCACTTTCAAATTAATATAATAATTTATTATTATTTTTTTAAATTTCGGAATGTTACAATCTCACCCCCTTAAAATAATTTCGTCCTTGAAATTACCTGTGTTCGGGTCTTCTGTTGTCCGTTCCTGGGCTAAAGCAAAAACTCGAGCCTTTACCTTCTTTTCTTGTTCATCATTCTTCTTCAAGGGGTCTTCTTTGAAATTTTTGGAAATATGCCCTGTTTTACCGCATCGATAGCACACATGCTTCCCAAACAAACATTCACCACTATGCATTTTATTGCACTTTGGATAGGGTGGAATGACTTGTCCAAAACTTGATTCAAAGTTAACCTTTTTGTTCCGTTCCTCTCCCTTCCCTTCATTGGACCCATTCCATTTCCTCTTTCCTGATAACTCGGCCCCTTGCTGGGTAATTTGGTCCATTTTCAACCTATTTGAAATTGCTTGGGTAGTTTGCAAAACGTGACTATAGGTGGTGAATTGGTGGGATGCTATTATTCCACCAATCTCAGGGCGCAATCCCAATTCGAACCTCCTTGCTTTCTTTACCTCCGTGTCTACTAGGTGTGGTGCGTACCTAGAGAGTTGCTCGAACTTTCTCTCATAATCTTCAAGTTTCATCTTTCCCTGCTTGAGTTGAAGGAATTCTGTCTCCTTGCGATCCCTCAGGGCTTGTGGGAAGTATTTTCCCATCACTTCCTCATTAAATTGTGTCCAAGTCAGAGCATGTTGTTGTGCTTCTGTTCTAGTGCGAGATGCTGACTCCCACCAATGGCCTGCCGCGTCAACCAACATAAATTCTGCAAATAACACTTTTTGAGCATTATTGCAAGATAGATGTTTGAAGATTCGCTCCATTCGCCTTATCCATTCTTCAGCTGCTAGTAGGTCTGCCTTGCCATCGAAGGTTGGGAGTTTGTAGCGACGGAACTGTTCCACAATTGAGCTGGTGTTGTTAGCGTTTGTACCATGGGGACCACCCTGTGCTTGTTGCCAACTCAAATCTTGTACCGCCCTTAGCAAATCCCTGATGATCGTAGCTTGGTTTTGTTGTTGTCCTAACATTTTCTTAACATAAATAAAATTTTAATTTAGGAAAAATTGGTAGAACACTCTAATATTATTAATAATCTTTGTAATAACGAAGAATTTTAATATAATTTCCAAATCCTTACATATAGAAATTTTGCTCTTCAAAAATTCAAATAAATAAATAAATAATCAAACTTTTCCTAAGCAAATAAATAACACTTGTCCCTAATCTAGAATCTTTTTCTTTATGCCGTTTCATCATCCGAAGTAATGCACGACTCGGGCTTGGAATCCATAACCAAATCAATGAAATTTTGTGGTTGGACTTCTTGCTCAGGGTCTTCCAGCTCTGGTTCGATCTCCTCCTCTGGGTCTTCCTCCGGCTCTGGCTTCGGTTCGGGTTCGGGTTCGGGCGCTAGTGCTTGTTGTTTATGGTTTCATAAAATTATGATATCTTCACGGTATCCTGTCCCTCACGAAATAAGCCACGTCTCTCCATTGATGTCGCATAGTGCTTATAAGGTGATATATCGAAAGGATTGTCCCCTCATTATATCCAAACGACCTTACTCGCTCCCACTTAGAAAGGAAATCTTCAACATGTTCAACAAAAGTTCGCTCCCATCTCACTTCATAATTTATGTAGTTCTCAATGGCCATTTCAGCACGCTGAAGGTACATTGGGCTATTTCTAGTCATCCTAATCACATGACAAGTATATTTCAATTATGCTTAATTTGGTATTATCAATATTATTTTGTTCTCAGTGCATAAATGATGTTATGGTAAAGTGCCAACTAAACTATGCGAGGTGACCATGCTTATACATTTTATAATATGCAGCAATATTTAAAAACATGACATTACATTTCATACCTGGGATCAATTGGAGAGTAGTCGAATGGTGAGCGCCACGTGCCAAGTATTTTTTATATCATTACAACATAAAAATACTTTGATTTTATTTGTTTAAATTTTTTTTTTTAAAATTGGAACGTCATAAAAATTTCTAATGATAACTATGTAAGTTTATTATTTAGAATAAATTTTACACAAACCTTTAACATTAAACAAATGTAGGAAATAAGAAAGCAAAACTATTTTTGCATGAAAAGTATTGAACACTTCATGTGAACAGCATACCATTTTCTTTATTATCACTGTTCACGGATGAACAGTTACTAAAATATATATATATAATTTTTTTTATTTTTTAACACATTGCTGTACTGTTCGCGTGAACAGTACTGTTTAGGTGAATAGTGCATTTTTTTTATTTTACAAAATCTTTAAAAAAATAGAATTTTCTTAGAATTATTGTTCTCCGTCTTAATGATTCGAATAACACGTAACTGAAAAGACTTCCAGATAAGGAAGGGGGTCACAAACGGACCGCTTAAATCCCAAACTCGCCTTAGACAGTTTAGGTCCTTTTGACAAAACTTTTTAGTCTTGTGGATACGCAAATCAAAGAAACTCGAAACAATAGTGGGAAAAAGAGATTTATTAAAATATGATTTTTTTATTTTTTATTTACATTAACACGCATACTGAGACATGGATAAACACATGCACACACTAATTGATAATATATAAGTACAACATGAGTGAGTGCTTTGAAATATCAATTCATTGGTAAGACGTTTGACAAATATATAAAAATTCATACCTTATATAGTCATTGTGGGAAGCAACAAAGGACATAAATGAATATATTATGCAAAATGTCATATGCCAATAACCAAATGGTCAATTCACTGTGAAATAAAAAAAAAAAAAAAATTAAAGTGGCTCCATAATTCCGATTTTCTGTACTGTTCACGTGAACAGTGCCGATTACTGTTCACGTGATTTTTTAATTTTTTTTTTGAAAAAGTCTACAAGAAGGTGAAACCATGCTCTGATACCATACTATAACGCCCCAATTTTATTATAAATACCGGAACGTTAGGAAAAACTTACTTTTCCTTAAGTTAAATGTGGAAATATAAAAATAGAATTCTTTAGTAAACAATAACTGCAATATTTATAAATCTAAATTTGAAAACATAAAAATCGTATCTAAACATAAACATAAATTCTTAGCAAATTCAAATAACACATTGTGAATAAATTAAACTAACTGATAAATTTCAAAAACGGCAAACTTATTATTTCTTTTTCTCTATTCTTTATCCACTTGGCAGCCCGCGTCACCAGTTCCCCACTATTTCAATCGACCCAAACCAACCTGTAAAATTAATGTAAGAGTGAGTATTTAAAATACCCAGTAAGATACTTGCAATTTCCATATTCTATTACATAACAAATAAATTATACACTTCATACCGCTATTATCTTATGGAGTATATTGGTGAGCAAGCGACACACCCATCTTAGGTCCTCTTAAATTCCCATAAAAATATCATAGCTCTTTCTCTAGAACCCGAAGGTCCACTAGTAATCCATGCATATTATTTGTATATAAGAGCAAAATGAAAATTAAAACACTTTGCACATAAATGTATCTTACCTCTTTTTTTAAAAAAAAAAAAATCTGAAATACGTTGAAAATCTTTCCTCCGCCTTGAAAGTATGTGATTAAAATATTTGATATTTCAAAAGTTACTCTCTCTCTCTCTCTCTCCCTTTTCTCTCTCTCTTTTTCTTTCTTCTCTCTCTTTCACGTGTGAATACTTTTGGTGTGGTAAAATATGAGATCCTTTCCTAGTATTTATAGTAATAAAAAGTGGTTGAGTTATTCTAGAAAACATGTAACATGAGTCGGGATAAGGTTGAGTTTAATTAGTAGAATTAGATTGAATCACCAAAGTTTAGTCTAATCATACTAAGGATTAATATTAAACCAATAAAAAAAATATTAATAATTTAATATAAAGCTTACCCATTTCTAGAAAGAGGAAATGAATAGGATTATAACTATATAAAATTCTATTTATCTTGTTTTCTTTCAATTGGATATAACTTAATACGTTCTTATCCAAAATAACTTTTCTTGGGTCATAGACTTATAATTAATTACGACCTTCGAAATGAGTTTAATATTAATATACATATCATTACGTTATCAAAATCCAATTACTTGACGCCAAATATATAATATATTAATATTTATTTCACCTTAATCCCTCACTTTCAAAATAATATAATAATTTATTAGTAAGCTTCTGCAACATCCCATTACCTGCTCCATTTTTCATCCGGTCACCATTTTTTTCTCGGCTCCTTCGCTGTTTTGTTAGATCAATATATATTATTACTACTGTAGTACCGAGTGGTACAGACTCCCCGCGCCCCCTACTTATCTTAGTTTGCATAACACGCTATTTAAATTGTAACATCTTCTTGTACAGAATTTTACTGTAGTGTTGAAAGCCTCACAATAAGTTTAGAACGAAACAAAATTAATATATATGCAATATATATTAGAAATAACATTTACACGTGTGCAATTTTATAGATAATTTAAACTTTAATGCATTCTAATCATTTGAATTCGGGTTAGAAATAGATTCGGGTCGTGGTTGGGATAGAGCTAATTTATTTTGAGAAAAAGTTAAATAATCAAGAATTGAAATAGATAGCGAGAGACGGAGTCAAAATTCAATACAATCATCATCATCCATTATTTGATAAAAATGACACGTTTATTACTTTTTTAGATTAATTTAGAATAATCACAAAACCGAACTTTCTTTTGTTGTAAATAATTTAAATTCAATACATAGATATTAAACTTGAATTGACATTTATTTTCTGTGGAATGATACTTTTAACTCACTAAATTTATTAGTTGTCAACGATGTAATACGCTTGTAGGTTCCGCACGAAAAGCTGGTCAACAAAGATGAACAAAATACACTGTTCGTCCAAATAAAGAGTAAACATTATTTGCTACACCAAACAAATCTGACACCAATATTAACAAATTTAAATTTGCAGGTTCAATCTTGGTCTAAACTTGTCCGGATGGGTTTGACTCAGCTTCAACATTCATAACACTGAAGAGTATGATGCGATCAGAAATTGTAGAAAGCATTGATTGAATTGCCTTCACAAAGCCACATAACATGCTAAAAATTCGCGTTGAACATGAAAAGAGTAGCAAAATTATGGGATAAACATACCAAAAAAGAAGTTGTGGGAGGATTAATGAAGTCAAGAAACAAAGCATTAGACACGGTGAAATTTTTTTGACTCGAATAAGCATATACTTGTTTCTGGTGTTAATCCCAGAAAATGTGAGTGGAATTCCAATGAAAATAAAGGACACAAGTAAGAGAAGAAGAGTGAGAAGACAAAATTTCATAATAGTCATGTTACGAAGTATATCAAAAGGATCCCATTTCGAATGATTCTCTATTATTATAGATTTGAGAATGTTAGCTAGAATTGGAAAAACAAGAGTGATATCAATTAGGTCTGCCATTATTCTCCAATCTTAAGATTGTGTTTTACTGAGAACTCGAATTCTGAGGGGTATTTATGCTAGCAAAAAGCCACGTAAAACCACTGTTCTCTTTCTTATACATGAAAGATACAAAATTCTACCGAATGAATCTTCGTCGCAGTTTCCTTGTACGCGTTTTTGAATGAATCTTCGTCACAGTTTCGTTGTACGCGTTTTTGTTAGTACAGATTTTTTTTCCTTGAAATTTTATTATTCTGATTTTTTTATGGACAAACATAAAAAATATCCTATTTCTGTCTAAAAAATTTAAAGTAGCACATTTATCCTATGATAATTATTTTAAATATACCTTTTTTTCATTTAAAATCAATGTGTAATTTTCTTTAAAAACCAACATTTTCTACGAATTACATGTTGAGATAACACGTGTTATTTTTAGAATATTGTTGAAATATTTTAATCTTTTTATTAAAAATAATATTTTAGAGTAAAATTTGGTCCGACATCATGCACTGATAAATTGGACATGTAATTCCGAGTAAATTTAAGCACACACCAAGGTCCAATTAATTAGCTGAAACAATGTTACATCGGCTGGGTTGGTGTGGCGTTTAACGAGTTACCAAATATATCAACAATAATTCTAGTCGTACAGGTCACTGTTTCACAGGGCCTATATAGGCTAGACACATGTCGAGGTGGACGGGCGGGAGTGGGTGATTATTTAAAAGAAAAAATTTCACTAACTCCCTTGTATGTGTGAGTGGCGTAGACAAGTCCTGTGAAATAATGGCTTGTACAGCCAGCTCGGTTCATATAAGTCATAGAGGCCATTATTTAACAATGCATCAACTCTTTACTTAATGGAATCCTATTAACTAGTATATTTCTAGAAGACGTGCTAAGGTTACAAGTCCAGAATTTAGTAATAACTTGACTGGAATTAATCATAATATTATTCACATAGAACAAAAAATTATAACTAAATACAATTTTTAAGGTATACACGTCGAACTGAAGACTACTCAACTACACTTTATTTCTTTTCTTATATAATTCTGGTGATTTCTTAATTGATTGAGATTGACGTAAGTGTCTTGGGGTGGAGCCCATTAAGGTGTAGTGCAGGCACAGGTCTGCATTGAACTTTTGGGCTCAACCCATTCACTTGTAATATATATATATATATGAAATATTATACATTCACCATATTTTTATTATTTATGGCACATTTCAAAAACAAGAAAACAAGTTTCAAATTTTAAAATTCAGATTTTTATTAAAAATTATTTATAATTTATTTAATTAATTAATTAATTAATTAAGTAATTAAATATATTTAAGTCACAGATTTATATAATTTGATCACAAATTAACGATTTAATTCATCATTTACTATTTTTTGGTCACAAGTAAGAAATTTTATGTCACAAATTATTTTACGATTACAATTCAAAATTTTTATAGGTCATAATTTGTTCATTGGTCACAAATCTAAAAATTTATCAGTCATGATTTATTTATTGGTTACAAATCACAAACATTACAAGTCACAGCTTATTATACAATCACAAATTATCAAATTATCGATCACAAATTAAAAATTTTTTAGATCACACATTATTTTTCGATCATAATTTATCTTTTTCATTGATCACATATTATTTATTGGCCATAGATTAACCAATTTAATGATCACAGTCAATCAAATAATTTGTGACCACTATCAACACTTACGATTCACAGTTACAATTTTTAAGTCACGTATCCAATTGTGTGCCACAAATCAACCAAACCATCACGACCACAGCCAGGACCACCATAACCACCGCCACAACCAACCGTGACTCACAAATTATGAGTTACAATTGGCTGGGAGTCACAATCACAGTTTTCAGGTCACGGGTCCAATTATTTATCATAAAATCAACCAAACCGCCGCAACCACCACAATCCACCACGACAACCACTACCACAAACCACTGCAAAACAATATCAAACCGTCGCCGGTTTGCAACTGCAGTAACCGCTATCACCACCAACCCCAACCCCAACGCCACCACCGTCAACATCACAGTCAGAAGCACTATCTTCTGTACCAAAAATAACAAACACTATCTCAAATTACACCACAATCACCACATTCAACAAAAAATGCCCAAATCACCACTCCAACAGCGACGTCGCCGCCTCACCTCTCCGCACAGTGGCAGTGGGCCTCAGCTGAACCGGTAGATCTATTGTAACCAGTTGAGCCACCGACGATGACGGGCGCTTGCAATGACGACTGGAGCTGCTCCATCGTCGGCTGTCGAATCTGAATAGATGAAAGGAGAGAGGAGGAGAGAGGGGCGAGCAGCACACCAGTTGAGCCACCGACCGCTTGTCCGGCGACGACGGGTGCTTGCGGTGACGACCGACCGAAGCAGCTCCATCGCCAGCTGTCGAATCTGAAATGATGAAACTAGAGAGGAAGAGAGAGGGGCGAGCTTGTATAAAATTTGTATTATAATATTTAACTTTTTGAACAATGAAACCTTCCCTTTGATTTTAGAATTTTTATTGGGGTGAAATTTCCACTTCACTAGCCATGAGAAAACCCAAATCCAAGATCCCTCTCTTCGCAATTATCACTCAACGCTCTGCCTCTCTTGATTAGCCCTAAATTCCAATCTTTGGTCGCGGCTGTTGAATCAAACGAGCTCTCCAACTGCCCAAATCGTCATCGCTGGTCGCCAATCTTTAGTTTTTGGGATTCTTTTATTAGGGTAAGATTTCTGCTTGAATTACCCTTTATCTCTTCTTTGTCGGTCAGATTCTCACCTCTATTGAATTGGATTTTGTTGCTATTGTTTATTTCAAGAATTGCGGTCAAGCATATGTAGTCATCCTTTCACTGTGGGCAAATCCATTTGTGTGTTACTTGTGGAGATTGCTAGCTTTTACCCAGTCCATTTGGTATGACCTGTTCTATTTGTTCTGTTCTTTTGGTCGATTAGTATGTATTCATTTTGTAATTGAAATCTACTTCATTGTGTGAATGTATGGATTATGGTATTGGCAGCACCATTTTATGTTTATCATACTTGTCATTATATAAAAAGCAGATATTCATGTGGCAATTGGAAGCTGAATATTTTCAATGACTGTTGTTATGATCGGTTCATCGAATTGAATAATCACCATCTGGGGACATGGTTCAATCCGAACGTTCTGTTTGTGCACTTCTTGTGCATCAAGTATCCATGGAAATAATTTTGCTCAAGAAATTAGCTCGGTGTGGTTTTGTAGGGTACGCTTGCCCTAAAATATCTTTGTGAGATATAGATAGAAATTCTCTTGACTGCAAAATAGAAATATTAGTCTTTAAGAAATAAAATGATAAGATTTGCAAACATTGATTGGAATATTTAAAGTTAAGTGCGTAGGAAGTGATGAACACGAGAATTTCAGATGCTATGTTCAATGGATATTTTGACATCCTCTTGCTACAATAACATCATAAACTTCCTCACTTTTCCAGGATTAGCAAATCCAGCCCCCATGATTCAAACATTTTATTCCAAGGATCAGGTTTTTAATGATGTTAAACTTGATGGCATTGTTATGCTGGTGGATGCTAAACATGCTGTTTTGCACCTTGATGAGATTAAGCCTAAAGGTGGAGTAAATGAGGCAGTAGACAAATTGCTTATGCTGACCGAATTATAGTAAACAAGGTACATTTTTATCTTCATAGCATGTAATAAGTTTGGTACGCGTTTCCCCAACAAAGTATAACTGAAAGCTCTGCAAACAATGACAATATCTAGTTTATCGGCATTTCTGTTTTATAATCTGGATTCTTATCCTGCTTCAATAATCTTGTAATGCAGCTACTATAAGATCTATTAGGCCAAATGGAAAATCATTTTTCTAGCTATTTGATTGCTATTTGTACACCTACCGGTACATCTTCTACTAATTTCGCAACGTGCTTTGTAAAGAAAACCCTGGACGGTTGTTCTGCATCTTGCATATGGTGAGATACTTGGCATTCTAAAGTTCAACTTGATGATTTCCATTGTGATCGTAGACTGATCTTGGTGGTGAACCAGAGATTGCTTTTATATGTGTGCTTTGTAAAGAAAACTCGTAAGGAAAATGTGTAAATTATAAATAGTATCATTTTTGTATTGTCATAATATTGATTTATATTTTTATCATCATTAAATCCATGGTCATTAGTTAAAAACTCAATGTTCGATTTTGATTGAATTGTGCCTGCACAGAAATAATCTGGCTCCTCCCATTGTTGTGTCAATTTTACTTAAAGAAAATAAATAAGTTATATGCAATGAGTAATTTTTTGATTTATGCATAGCTTCTACTATTGGCTCACTAGAATAAGTTTACCTTGCAAGACAACATCTCAACCACGCAATCTTCAGTACCTGGTGTAACCCCTAAGTCTGATGCCGGAGCAATCTCAAAACTGAGAAGTTGAAGCTGTGGTAGAGTAAACCTGCATCTAAGCTAACATAACTTAGCTGCAAGAATTAGTCATGCATGGAAAATGACCTTGCAGAACATAGGATTTTTATGAATTAATTGCTAGATAATGACAAAAATGAAATAAATAAGAACAAAAGAAAAACAAGAAGATTTATGTGGAAACCCAATATAAGAAACTACAAGTAGAGGCGAAGAAAATTACTATAATCAATAGTAATTGTATTTACAATATCAAGATCTCAATACTCTTAATTGAAATCTTAATTCTCTAACTCTCAAGATGATATGGAATATATGTAGTAGCCTCTGTTTGGAGTTCAAGTTGAAAAAGAAATCAAATCTCGAAAATTTTGTCGAGGCATTGCTGCCAAAATCGGGGTCCCAACGTCGGGCTGCTGTTCCTCTTCTTCTATGTGCATGCCTCGGCATCACGACCATGGTGTCGCGGCGCCCACTTCCGGGTTTGATCATTCTAATGATGTTATCACCATTCTAAAGTTCTTTTTCAAGTCAAACTTTCAATTCTTGATAAAATTTGATCCGAATAAATTAGGACTATCAAACCAAATCTCCTTAGACTTCCTTTATCCAACCAAACACCAAATTAAAAGGAATTTGGATCACACCACAACAAAATTAAACAAGGAAAACATGATAAATTAATTTTAGAGTTGTTTCTTTTTCCTACGTAAATTAGGTAGTTTCTTGAGTGGTTGAGTGACGGGGGTACTGCATAACCTGCTTATGGCTGAAACTCTATTTTTGGGGAGTTCGGATTGGGATGGAGCGGAAAAATATCTTCATTTACTGTCTTGGTTAATTTTAATATTTTCTTTTTGAATATAATTAAAATTTTTAAAATATAAAATACAATAAATATATAGATTCGAGGCGACTCGAGAAATTTCGGGCTATTCAACTCCCCATATGCACGAGGTAATGCAGTGTGAAGAATTTTGTCATCCCTAATTTTTTGTTATTATATAATAATAATAATAATCTCATCTAAATCAACAAGTATATCTTGACAAATGATAAGACAAGAAAGAAAAAGAGCGTTCAAAAAATAGAAAAAGAATGAACGAAAAGTAAATCTCAATTCTTAAATTAAAAAATAGCTTGTGCAAAGAATTATTTCACCTTTTTTAAGTTAAAAATTAGCTTATATGTAAATAATTGCTTATAAGTAAAATATCACTTATGAATAAAAAAATCTTACACAAGAAACTATAAATTTAAAATTTCACCAAGTGACCTAAACAATTAACCAAAATTTTTGACACGTACCAATTTTTTTTATGAGTTATGCTATACTTACAAATAGGGATTAACAAAGTTGGATGAAAAAAAGCACATCCACACAAATCATTTCAAAAACAAATTTTAAAATCATTTGAAATCAATGGTTTGAATTTTGTCAACACACTTTGTAACCCAACTTTGTACAAGTAGCTTTATTGCTTTTTTATATTTGAGTCTATATGTACTTTCATCATTTTGAAAAACATTTAGAATGGATAAATAATAAACTCCCAAGAGTTATTTTATTTTAAAAGTTGTTATTGAAAATCAATCAAAATTGGTATTTGAAAAACCTTATAACTGGTATCCCAAAACTTCAAAGTATCGTTGTCTGCTCCATCTTTTTTCTCCTAATAAAGTCAATTTTTTAACCCTTTTTCCTCACAACTGGGACTCACATTTGAGACAATTGGTCAAAAGAATTGCTTACATCGGTGATCTAAACAACCCCACCAAAAAAAATTGGTAACAGACAACCTCTAAACTTTCATATTATCATATATATCGTGGGTCTAATAGTGGTCTTTATCGAAAGAAGCAATTATTAATTGTTTAATGAGAATATATTTATTGAAATTTACTAATATACTTACAAGTGACCGCCGGGAAACATGGAAACGTTAATGACGCTTATATTATGTTGAATTAAATGAGATTAACTGAATTTACCAGCCATTTTATTCCGTTATCCATGCGTCCAAAATACTTTGGATCCTTTGAGTGCCAGACAAGTCTTTTCCACACTTACTTTTCACCAAACATTAAAAAAGTCATTTTACAAAAATTTCTGTAACTTTTCTTACTTTTTTAATTGCATATTCTTAAAAAATTACTCTTTAAATAATAGCACTATATTTAGCCCCTGTTTTATATCCTTTACTTCACTTTAATATATTTTCTCATACTCATTTTAAACTATACATTTACACAATAAAATATTTTACATTTAAATTCAAAAAATTTTCCTACTTTGAGGGTGTTTGGAAGACATTTTTATGTAAAAATACATTTTTGAATAGTAAATTGATGGGAAATGTGTGGTTGAACAATAAGAAATTTTTTTTGATTTACGTGTAACATTATTTTAATAAAGAATGTGTGGTTGAAAAGGAAAAGAGAGAAATATATTTTAAAAAAAAAAGTACCAAACGGGGCCTTCATAACCGCTCATTTTCTAAAAAGAATATTATTCAAATCTTGCCCCCCAGGGCACATCCGAGTTGGTGGAACAATCACTTCGCTGGGACGCTGGAAGCAAGGGTGGAGAGTTCGATTCCTGGAGTTAACACTGGGTGCTAAAATGGAGGGGAAGCCATTTGGTTGAACAAACGCCCAGCGAGGAGAGCTCTCTTTGCGGAAGGAGTCCAAATGAGTTGTGGGAACCTGGGAGCCAACAAGGGTACATCCTGCGATTTACCTCCCTGAGCTGCTGAGGGGCCGGAGGTTCAGGGACAAGGATCTAGTCGGACGCAAGCCCGGACACCTTGTAAAAAAAAAAAAAAAAAAAAAAAATATTATTCAAATCTTAATACTTTTTTGAGATAAAGGCCACCAAACCCAGCGGGGGATTGTGTTAGGAAGGTGCAAATGCGTAAACTTATGATGTCAATCTCGTACAGTCCACTAATTGTCTGATTATTATAAAGAGCGGTCCCAATCGTTTACTTAGCATTCGTATTTTTTTTTTGGACATTCATTATGTTGTAACTTAAAATAAGTTTCAATCTTTCAAAATTAAAACATTTTAATTTTAACATAAAATTAAAATATCATAAATCATGTGGTAATTTATATTTTAATGGTTTAATTGTGGGTTAAATTTATCCCTATAAAATACAGTTTTTATTGAGAAAAACAGTTTGAGATACAAGGAAAAACAATATATTCCATCTGTATTTTATATTATATTTTTATAGTTTTGAAAACTTGATGTGATGTTCATTTTTTATCTCCCTGTGATTGTGCCCCTGAAGGAGAATCAATCATAAGTCATATGAGTTTTATCTTACGGTCGTGTAGTGTCAAAAGTATCCGTACGAAAGGAGGGCAATACAACTTTAAGATAATGTCTTCGACGTGACTCCCAAAACTTGCTTTCTAACTCTTTTCTAATTATATTTTGTGTTCATGTTATTATTGAATTTTTATGGTTATAATTATAGTTGAATTATATATATTAATGTTATGTTTATTATGATCACACAAATCTCTCATTTTTTTCCAACAATCTATATTCGCTTTTGATTTGCAATCTATATTCGCGTTTGATTTGTGGATAGATTTGTATAGATTGCTTACGGCTTCAACTGTGCAAATAAGCTATGAAATCTTTGATTTACTTTATGTGGTTTCTCAATGGTGCATGTTTTATATTAATAGCTGAATAGCCTTTGTCTGGAAGCAATAAATCTTGATAAAAGTTGATTCTTCCGTCACTTCAAATGGTCCTTGTTGATAGAATATGAAGCTGGCGGTAACATTCATTTTGAATAATTGTTAGTTGTTACACTACATTGCAAGTCCTTATTGCCCTTTCCTTCTTAAATTCAACATTCACCGTACATATTAAAAATTACTCACAATTGTTAAACGTTGAACCCCAACCTTGAGGATCCCATTGTTCCGTCTCTAGAACTTTGTGAGGAAGGTAAATCGCAGGATATGTCCCAACAGGTCAGGGAATAAAAGTTGCATGTACACTGCGCCTACAAGGAATTCAATTCCATGTCTCAGGAATCGAACCCCTACACTGCGACTACTAGCAAGAATTGAGATAACTTCAGTTCTGTTCTTTGCACCATTGGGCTATGCAGGAGGACAAAGTACCGACAATTGTTGACTGCATTCAACAAAAAAATAGGGGCAATAAGTAAAAATTGGTAGACAAGTGTACAGTAAAAATTGTATCAAAATCTGATAAATTTACTCAAAAAGCAACACCGGACAAGGGGCTTAATTATAATATAGATATAAAAGATTATTTCATATATTTCCCATGTAGATGCAAACTCAAATTACTCAAAAGAATAAAAAGAATGGAAATGTAGAAAAGGATATTAAGTAGTACATAGAGAAGACAAAATCTTCTAATCTAGTTTGATTATCTCATTTACTACTATTTACAGTTGAATTGATAATATTAATTTTCACTTATTGTCTATGGAATATTTAAATTGGAAACTGATATTATTTTTGTCAAATGATAGTTTTGAAATACCTATTCAATCTGAGCACTTGAAATTTGACTATTTTTGGGGAAGAATGAAAGACGGTTGCATGTCACAATTTTCTTTTAACAGTGGATTAGAACAAATCTGCTAAAGTATCCTTACCCCTCTTAATGACTATACCGGTCCAAAGTCTCTTTGCTTTTGTCAAGGCATTCTTCCTTACTGTTGTTCTTCTAGTAGTTGTATATGCTCAATTTTACAGTTTGCTTGCTTTTTTACCTGAAGTTGAGTGATATTATCGACATTTCCTTTTAGTGCAAGTCTAGGTTAAAATGTCCTATTATTAATGTAAGAAAGAACCATTAAAAAAGGGCCTACTCAATGTTTTGTCGTGATTGATTCGTTGAAGAATTTTCATTGATATTGAGAGCAATCGTAGTCAGGTAATTCCTAAGGGTCAAAAAGAATGTGCATTATTAATATTTAGAAAAAGTTTAATTGTAACTCCTGTGAATAATAGTGGTATTATTATTATTTTATTTTATTTAGGTATGTAACTCTTATATTGGTGTTGAGTAACATATAGTGTACTTCTATTCAATGTAGTATAAGTAATTTTGATTTAAGTTTTGAAAGCTTTAAATCTTAACAATTATAATAAGTTATTTGTTGGTTAATTAATTTTAAGTATTATACGAGCCTTCATATTTTAAGTTATAAAGCGAGAAATGATGGCTGATTGTCTTTCTGAAATGATAAATGAATACAAACTGTATTCATTTATGCTTATATACACGTGTACTATATGATTGATGCTTGAAGAAAATATTTATAGATACTAATAATGCAAAGGACTAGTGTTTACCTCTTTTAGAACAAGTATATAGAGAAATCATTGTCAACCATTTTGGTTTACGTGAAAATTTAGGCTCCTTTTGAAGTTTATATGCATGGATTTTTATGTGGTGTCAAAATTGGTTTTGAATTACTTCAAAATGAAAATGTGGAGAAGGATGCAGAGAATTTTGAAGAAAAATTCATTTTCTTCTATTTGCTTAGACATATTGGTCATTATATATGTTGGAAGAAGGAAAATGAGGTACATTAACTCATGATAGAACTGCATGGTAAATGTATTTTTTTGACTTTTCTCAAGGTAAACTCTACAAGGTAACATCCTCTTAATTAGTCAGACATCTTTGAAGTGTGCTAATATGATGAGTAGTCGATATTGTGGGAATGAGTAATGCTAAGAAGGCCCTTCTAATTAGCCATGAATTTACGAATGACTCTGCTTGAGCCAAGCACACATGAAGGACATAGTGGTTCACAATGAGCTAAAATGCTTATAGAAAGTGAAAAGCACAAAGATTGCATTGTATCCTTGATGCTATTGACATAGCTAGCTCCTTTGCTTCAGGATAACTGTATGTTTGCATGAGCATATGGACAAGCACATTGCGAATAGGCAAGCGCGCAGCGCAGGAAAGCATTGAATATTCGTGCTTGTATGCATCATGAGTGATAGACTCATAATGAATGGCAACAAGAGGTTGTTGAATGGAGTGTAACTACTGCCACAGGTATGAAAAGTACTCCTGTGACGAGACTATACACACGATCCCCGCTTCAAATTTCCAATACCTGCGCCCAAATATTTTTTTTTTATTCGTACCATATTAAAAATTAATTAATTAAAAGGAACCTTAAATGAAATTTCTCAATCCCGTTCCACATTCCAAAAATCCCCATCATGATGGAAATTACTGTCACATCCTCGTTGTCATCCGTAGTTTGGGTGGGAATTGAGGTCTGAGTTTATTTAATAGGATGAAGCTTCAATGCCAGGGTGGGGGGTTCACAGAACCCAGAACTCCCACAGGCTCATCATAACATCAGGGGTGGGCATTTTTGGGGTATATTCTTTAATGGGACTCACCTCATGAGAGAGGCCCCGTGAAATTGGGGTTGAAATTTAAGGTCTCACTTTATTTACTGTTCCAAGGAAATTTGTCATGTCTCACTTTATTTCCAATTTCCATACTTCTATTGTGTGGAAATTTGTCGTCTCACTTTATTTCCAATTTCCATACTTCTACTGTATGGGAACTAGTCATGTCTCACTTACTTTATGGTATTAATGATGTCTGTTTCAAGGAAATTTCATAATTCTTATCTGGATCTAATAATTGGCAAATTTTATCATTGTGACCACTAATGGACAGGGACATTCAAAAAAGGATAAAGGACTTAATTGTCATCAAAATTTCTCACACGGTTGGGGTGGACTTAGCCATATGTCTCAATCAGAAGCATCAACATCACTTCTCCTTTATCGGCCAAATCAGATTTTCTGCACATTTTCATACTTGGTTTATAGTTTTCATGTAAGTTCTAGGAAATATCTCACATGTCTCTCAAATTATATGGAACACCTATATAAAATGCCAAAGCAAGCATCATCTTCTTTCTCCCACCCAAACTTCAATTACCAGAGAATAATAATGTCTCACTTTGATCTAAGATATGCTGCCCTATTTGTCGTAAACATTTTGAAATCACATATGGCCAAGCCTTGGGAATGGGATCCTTTTGGCATATCAATTGAAAACTTCACTTGGATCAAGTTTTGCCTTCTTGCTATATTTTTCTTTGTCTTCTCCTTCGTCTCCATTGGTATCCAATTGACACCTCAAATTAATATGGGATACATACGCGTACAGGTCAATAATTACTCGGTTCCCCTAATGGTTTGTTCATCGTTCTCGTTATTCTGCCCACAACATATCTTCTGGTATATCTATCCCATAATTTTGTTGCTCTTCATATGCGCTCGTTGTATCTCTATTGCATGGAGGAGTTTTGTGCTTAGTGTTCGACTTCTGTTGCCTACAATTCCCGATCTTCACCTATTTATCACTGCTACGAACACTGACGATGAAGCCAACTTAGAATTGCAGGGGATGGAACAAATTGGCCAAGTTTAGGCCAAATGCAAAGCTATAGGTTTAAATCAAATGGCCCTTTGTTTGTATTTCGGAAGCTAGTCTACTATGTAGCCATCAAGTTTGCTTGAACCTGCTATGGCATAATAAAATCCCCCAAATATTGAGTAATAAGGTTGTTATATATCAGTGTTCTAAAAAGCGCGTCTACACATTGTAGGTGAGGACAAAACGCTTTGCCTTGGCAGGAAATGTCCGCTTAATGTGTGCCTAGGTGCTTTGATAATTTTTTTTTCCTTTTCTTTTAAATACCTTTATTTGATTTTAGTTTTCTCTCTCTATATATGTGTGTGTGTGTGTGTTATGTAATTATGATTTTGAAATTTATGGTATTGTTGAAAACTTTGAAAGTAGGTATGAAGTTCTTATAAATTTGTAAGTGAGACTTGTTTAGTTGAAGTTTGAAACTATGGAAAATAATCTAGCCTTTGCATTTTGAAATTTGGAAAATTGTATAATTGACTAATTGTAGGAACTATCAAGTAAATAATGTATGTATTATTTTAATTATTAAATGAGTTTTAGAATATTTAAGTATTTAAAATAAAATAAAAATTAAGTAACACTATTTTACACTTAGGTCTCGTAAAAATCATTTCGAAAATTAAGAGCCAATTATGACATTTTAAAAACTGGTTGCATTGAAGGGACTCACGTAGACTTCGTGAATTGACAAGAAGCATTTACACCTTACCAAATAAAGTTCAAGACAAAGGGACAGTAAAGTTCATCCAACACACTATTTACTTTATATTATATACACATAATTCTCTTATAAGTATTATACAGTCTAGCTGATAAATAGAACTAGCATTGTGCCTTGACGTGTGTTATTTCTCCGGTCAATCTCAACATTAAAAACATAATAAGATCCTTGTAAAATTTAACCCTTGGCAGATTTTGACATCAATGGAACCGTTAGATTAAGCCTACCCACCAAGTTATGTCAATTACCTACTTCACACTATGTTTGATAGTATTCTTTGTAAACTGATAAATTTATTTTATACACTTATTCAGGACTTCTAAACTTGATCAATTATAGTTAATTGAGTGATATCCACATAATTTTGTGTAAATTTATTAATCTTAAAAAATTCTTGACTTGAAATTTGAATGCACCTGAAGTGATGAATTTGGCGTTCAATTGGAGTTGATTCGAAGCAATTCATAATCAACTAATTGCATTTGGTTAATTGAAATAATAAAAATGGTAACTGGAACAGATTCACAAGTTTCAGAGGTAAATCCAACGTTCAGAAGGTTTGGGAACTTATTTGCAAACATTGAAAACTTGCATGGGATCAATTTATGAATATTTAAACATCGCAAGTTATGTTCCTTGCAATCACAAAGATAACAACTGCCCAATTCTCTCAATTAACCATTGATAATCAGTATCAACCCCTATACATGTCATGCGACCATCATTCACAAGCTATGCCATTTGTCCACGTCGTGCACCACAAAGTCGCTAATAGAACAATAACTAGAACACTTATCTACATTGAAAATTTCAAGAATAGGATAAATAATATGGGCTGTAAACACGAGATTTATTCACTAGGTTATTTCCTGTTTTTCATAAACATTCTTAAATCAAAAACAACAATTTGATTTGTACATCACAGCAATGTATTACAATTTCAAGGCCAATAAGCATTCCAGACTATATAAATTTGTTTCATTTTGCAGATCAAGAGGGAGATTTTCGAACAAATGAGAGCTATATGTTACTCAGTACTAATACAAGATTATTTCATGAAAGAGTGCTCAAAGATATGATTTAATCTATTACACACATCAGACAATGACAATCCAGGACTTCTGCTCCTCACCCTAGATGAAAAGAAAAATGTGAAGAAAAATAACCGGGTCGTGCCCTAGTGTATGGAAATTTTGTGCTTACCTTAAGAAAGTACATTGTTAACTCTAACCCGAGGAAGTAAATGTGGTTTTCATGTAGAAGCACGGCTTCCTGAAAATAGATTATCTTTCAAGAGACTTGAATAATTTAGGAGTCAATGGTACTATAACTACAGACTTTGTATAAAGTAATAGGTCACATATATAGATTACATGATAAACTTTTGCATCTTCAGATCAGGAGTTCTATGAGAAAACTGATGTGATGAAGTACAAAAACTTACTTTGAAGTTCCATTGAAAACGAACCCTGTTGTTTACGCACCCATTCTTAATAATCTTGCAGCAGCTGTTTTACGAGTAGCGGTACCAACCTGTCCACTAGAGCCTGCATCATTCTATGTACGATTCATGTTCAAGATTTGAGAATACATGATGTAGCTTGCTAATTTTTGGAGTTCTAAAAGCATCAAGTCTTACCTTAAAACATTGGAAAGGCGTATTTCATTACACATGAAAAGATTTTCCTTATATACTTTTTTTATTTCAAGTCTCAGTTAATTATGGTCTCACATATTCCCTTTTTTTTCTTAGAAGTAAAAGATTCATGCTGTTGGGGAGAAAATGCGTGGGTCGACTTTGGCTGACAACGATAATGGAATTGAGAAACCGCAGCGAAAATGAACACAAGTATTTACGTGGTTCACTCAATTTTGGCTACGTCCACGGGCAAGTATGGGAGGATTCACTATAGTAGAAAAATTACAACACTCTTTCTAAATACAAGAAGATAACAACAAATAATCTCTATTGTAATTAGGAAAAAACAAGTAGGAAATACCTGGGAGAAAAAAATAATTTTTCTCTCTCTACTTCACCATTTTTTTCTCTCTACTAAAAGAAAGTTTTCTCTCAATTTTCCCTCTCCATACCCACGGCTCTTTTTCCTTCAACTCTTGCCTCCTTTTATAGAGAATTTTTTGCTGCCCAGTTGCTTCAAAAAATTCAAGAAAGATGACTGTAAATGGGCTGTCAAATGGCTGGACCAAAGCTGGAAGTTCCACCGCCTCAGTTGTTGGAAAGGTCAAGAAAAATTGGCTGAATTTTCTTCAAGTATTTCGGCTGAAGAGGAGCAATCAAAATTGCCAACTTTCCATTTGCATGCATGCGTCTTGCTTGGTTGTTAAGTAAGTGTCATGGTAAAAAAAGGTCGCTTTATTTTCAACATTTCTTCCACTTAAAGTCACTTTTGTTGACCACTTCAATCCTTCCTAACTTGCCATTTCCATGCTACTTACGTTTTTGCTAGACCGATAGAGGATCGACACCATATAAACTTGTCCGTTTTGATTGACTTTGTTAACATATCAACTAGGTTGTCTACTATATGGATTTTCTGTATATACATACTTCCTTCCTCCACCTTTTCTCGAACAAAGTGATATATTGGACTCGAATATGCTTTGTCCTCTGATGAAATGCTGGATTCTTTGCTAAGTGCAAAGCGCTCTGACTATCACAAAATAGAGCAATCTTCTCTAGTTTGTGTCCGAACTTGTCCATTAACATTTGCAACCAGATTGTCTCTTTACTAGCTTGTGTAGCTGCCACATATTCAACCTTCGTCATAGTACTAGACACGATAGGTTGCAGTTTCGAAACCCAGCTTAGAGCTGCTCTAGCAAAAGTAAACACATATCCTGTGGTGGACTTGTTTTTATCAAGATCACTTGCATAATCTGAATCAACATAGCCTCTGGCAATAAAATTTGATCCTCCATAACATAATGTAGCATTTGAGATACGCTTAACATATCTTAGGATCCTCTTTACAGTACTCCAATGCTCTTTACCAGGATTTACCATGTATCGACTAACCGCTCACACTGCTTGTGCAATGTCTGGTCTTGTACATATCATAGCAAACATCAAACTACCCACTGCTGATGCATACTGTACTCGAGACATTTCCATCCTCTCTACTTCGCTGCTGGGGCTCATACTTGAGGATAACTTGAAATTAATAGAAAGAGGTGTAGAAATTGGCTTACAATTTTGCATATTGAAGCGACACAAGATTTTCTTCAAGTAATTCTTCTGACTAATCCAAATCTTCCTAGTTCCTATTATTTCTGTCTCAATAAATTTGCATCCCTAGAATCTTGTTTGTCAGTCCCAAGTCCTTTATTTCAAACTCTCTAGCCAATTGAGCCTTCAAATTTTCAATACGATCTTTGTTGGGGCCTGCTACCAACATGTCGTCAACATACAATAGCAAAATAATGAAATCATTATCACCAAATCTCATGTAGTATGTACATGGATCTGAACGGAGTCTGTTGTATCCAACGCTCACGATGAAGGAATCAAATCTCTTCTACCAACATTTCGGCGCCTGTACCAACATTTCGGCGCCTGTTTGAGATCATATAGAGATTTGTTCAACCTGCAAACCAAGTTCTATTTTCTTTTTTCTTTAAAACCTCCTAGTTGGAGCATAACAATTTCTTCTTCAAGTTCTCCACGAAGAAATGCAGTTTTCACATCTAACTGCTCCAGATGTACATCTCTGCTGATTATCACCTTGTGGCCGGTGGGAACCCACAGGTAGTACCCCTTCACTCCATCAGCATACCCTAAGAAAATACATTTTCTGAATTTTGGATCCAGTTTTGATGTTTCTTAGGTGTTGTACATAACGTACACGAGACTTCCTCCATTGTCAGTTCTCAGACATTTGATCTTTTTTTTCAGATTCAAGCTTCACACGTGCTTCGAATATTTTGAAGATTGTGAACACGTCTGCCTTCCTTTTGATTGGATACACCCAACGTCTCCTAGAGTAATCACCAATAAAAGATACAAAGTATCTTGCACCTCCTAGGGATAGAACCAGTGCTTGCCAAATATCAGAATGAAACAACTCCAAGATAGCTTTACTTCTAACAGTGGAACTGCTGAACTTCAATCTGTGCTGCTTACTATTAATACAATGCTCACAAAAGGGTAATGAAACCTTTTTGAACCCTGGAAGAATCTTTTGTTCTGAGAGAATTTTCAAACCACGTTTCGACATGTGACCAAGCTTGCGATGCCACATCATCGTTAATTCTTCTGCTGAACCTGTCCGTGTGACAGATGCTTCCCCTTCTTGTAATTTTTCTCCTTTAAGCATACACAAATTTGCAGCTATCTTTTCCGCTTTTATCACCACAAGCACGCCTTTGATTATTTTCATAATCCCATCTTGTTATGGGTTTTGCAGCCAATGCTATCTAATTGTCCTAAAGACAATAGATTTTTCTTCAAGCTTTTTACGTGCCGTATTTCCTGGATAGTGCGAATTGTACCATCATACATTTTCAATTTGATGGTACCAGTACCAGCGATCTCCAAGGCATGGACATTTCCCATAAACACAGATCCTCCTGGGATAGTCTCATATTGATGAAATCATTTCCTTATTCGTGTCATGTATCATGTAACTCCTGAATCCATAAGCTAGACATCAAAAAATTTCTTTCTGCCTTCAACAACTGTTGTTGCCTCACTGTATAAAATTTCACCATCATCCGAGGAGCTTGCTACACAACCCTGAGCTTTTGACGTCTCAGGACCTTTTCCTTTGACTTCTTCATTCTTCTTGAGACTCCAACAATCCCTTTTTAAGTGCCCTTTATTGCCACAGCAATGACAATTGACATTTTTCTTACTCCTGAATTTTGATCTACTCTGATTATGACTCCCACTAGAGCCACGTTCCGTTGATCTCCCTCTCGTCATCGTTAAAGCTTCTGCCTAATGCGAACTTGTCAATCTGTCCTCCTTGTTCTTGCGCCTACTTTCCTCTTCAAGAATAGCAGCTGCAACATCATCGAAGACTAGAGTTTCAAGATTGTTGGTCAAGTTGATGATGAGTTGATCATACGAATCTGGTAGACTTTGAAGTAAGATTTCAGCACATTCACCCGCCTCTATATTATGCTCCATTGATGTAAGTTGTAAAAATAGAGTATTGAGGGTGTTGATGTGGTCTGTCACCGTAGTTGATTCCATCGTCCTAAGGGTGTAAAGCTTTCTCTTTAAGAAAATTTTGTTGTGTAACGATTTGGCCTCGTACAACTTTGTCAGCGTATCCCATATCTCTTTGGCCGCCTTTTTCTCTGCCACACTTGACAATACTCCATCGGCTAGTGCAAGGTGCAGATTGGCAACTGCGTTGCTATCCATCTCGTTCCACTTAGTATCGTCAATGATCTCCCTTTGTCCAATTTTCGCCAAGCAGTTATCTTTCCGCAAAACTGCTTTTATTCTCATTTCCTATAATGAGAAATTGTTCCCATTGAACTTTTCAATCTCACACTTTGTAGCCATTTTGTTCACCAATACTGTGACTGAACAACCCTACACAGAACCTTGCTATGATACCACTGTTGGGGAGAAAACGCGTGGGTTGACTTTGGCTGACAATGATAATGAAATTGAGAAATCGCAGCTAAAATGGACACAAATATTTACGTGGTTCACCCAATTTAGGCTACGTCTACGGGCAAGTATGGGAGGATTCACTATAGTAGGAGAATTACAAAACTCTTTCTAAATACAAGAAGATAACAACAAATAATCTCTCTTATAATTATGAGAAAACAAGTAGGAAATACCTAGTAGAAAACAATAATTTTTCTCTCTATTTTATTTTTCTCTCTACTTCACCATTTTTTCTCTCTACTAAAGAAAAGTTTTCTCTCAATTTTCCCTCTCCATACGCACAACTCTTTTTTCCTTCAACTCTTGCCTCCTTTTATAGAGAATTTTTTGCTGCCCAGTTGCTTCAAAAAATTCAAGAAAGATGGCTGTAAATGGGTTGTTAAATGGCTGGAGCAAAGCTGGAAGCTCCACCGCCTTAGTTGCTGGAAAGGTCAAGAAAATTTAGCCGAATTTTCTTCAAGTATTTCGACTGAAGAGGAGCAATCAAAATTGCCAACGTTCCATTTGGATGCATGCATGTGTCTTGCTTGGTTGTTAAGTAAGTGTCATGATAAAAAAAAAGTGGCTTTATTTTCAACACATGATTTATTTACTGTAAATGAGTTTTCAACACTTACATATTCCCTGGAGCCTCGGCAGATGATATTGGCAGAAAGGTGAACGGCTTGGTGTAAATCTGTATAAAAGCAACATAATTACTTTTATGACTGGAATGCAGCAGCTAGCTTTCAAACGAGTTATAATGAAGATGAAGATTCAATAAAAAACTAAGTTACCAATGGGATGAAGCCCTTCAATGAGAATGAACAGGCACAATTCCTACGGTGAGTGGCAAGGTAAATCTTGGTTACATATACTTAGTGGCTATATCTGAATCTGATTGAACAAAAATGAAGGGTTTGCTATGAGGTAGCAAGCTTGACTAAGATTAAAATATTATCTACAAATAAATGAGTTACTTATTTTGACAGTAAGAGTTACTTCCACAATAAATTTCTTTTACTTAAAAGCAAGAAAAACTAGCTTGTCCAGACATGTTTAGAAAAACTTTTTATTTTCTTTAAGCTTAAGTAAACATGCTCTATGAAGAATGGTTGAGTAGAGAAACCCCACCTCTTGAGTTGCAGGATTACAATAGTAAAAAGATCCCAAATTTGCCCTTTAACATCAAAAGAAAAAAAATGTTTGTTTATGAAAGTCGACTGAAGTTTGTCAATGGCCCATAGTTATAAGTTGCCGCCAAAATGACACAAAAATTCACCAAAATGTAACTTGTAAATTTTTTAAAAAAAAAAATGTAAGATAAATCAGTTCCTTGGATTCTCTCTTCCTTTTACTATCAAGGACAACATTATAGATACATTGGTTATAGGAGTCAAAACATGCATAAGAGTGTGCAATCACAAAGCTCAATTCAATGATATATTTTTGAAAAAATAAAACAGGCCATGAACTATTTAATATTACAATATTAAAAATCATATAATCCATATAGCTAAAAAGGCTCAATTAACCAGAGAAAATATCAATTGCCAACCTTTAACATTTGAAATAATTACTAATCACAGACAACCTATGAGCCAGATGATCAGCAATATTAAAAATGTTTCTAAGTTCTAGACAAATGGAATGAAGGAATCTATTCAATCTGAAGTTGAAAAGCTTTTGAGAAATATTTTAGTGCCGATAATAAAATTTGTGAAATGTTTTAGTCAGCCCATAGGAAAGGCTGCTACGAAGGGGACCCTCTCTCGGCCTACAACTAACACTGGCAGAGGCTAAAATTGGGGAAATGACAATTAAAATCAGTCCACCTAGGGATGAAAACAACCTTTCAAAAGAAGAAAGTACCATAGGATTCACAGGAAAATACTCAACAACAGGAGGGTAACAACCTCAAGGACGAGATCTAACTTCGCATCGACATTCAAAAATGGTTCAACATTAATAGTTTCCCATGTTATACAGTTTCTCATTGACGCTGCATGTTGAAAACAACGAAAGATTAAAACTTAGATGTAGGCTATAATAGGCATTGCTTAATCATGCAAAATGAAATTGATAGAACCTCAACCTGCAATACCGAAATGATAAGACTCCTGGACCCAATTGAAGGAAATAACAAACTCACAGCAATAAGATCTTAATGCAACGATTTATTGATGAACAACAGAAAATAACAAATCCCAGGCTAATCGAGAGGCCTGGTCTCTCCCCCTTGACTCAACCAAAACGTGAATGCCTTTTTCCTTCCCGAAACCCCATATTTATTTACACTTCCTACCACAATGCTATGACACTTTTACCCCTAACTAACTAACTTCAGCTGATTTGGCAAGCTCCTTCATCCTTCTAGAATAGGTGAACTGGATTGAGGGTCTATCATTACCCGCCGCCCCAAAATCCACCTTGTCCTCAAGGTGGAGGTGTCGTTCAACTTCAAAATTTGGAATTCCATACAAGTGAATCGGTTCTTTGGTAAGAATACTTATCAAGGCAAATGTCAAAATGGGATGTTTCAGCCCAAATGCATTCAAAAAGTTTTGGCGCTGAACACCTACGCTTAGAATGTTATCCATACAAATCCCATAACCAGACACACCCTTTTGCGGACTTTCCAATTTCTGAACATGAAAATCCAGAATAAAATTGTAACTTATTGGACCCCTTTTTATTGTAATTGTTAGACACCTCACTATAGCCATCGTAGACGTTTGAGCGGTAATAGGTGTTGGGTACGTAGGGTAAATTATATGGGGAAATTGCCGTGAGGGTGGGGATTTAAATTTGGGCAGAAATAATTAGGGAATATATTTGAGCTGAAATGATTGGGAATAAAAATAATGGTTATAACTTTTATATCCATATGGGCCGGCAACATATTTAGCCCTTTTCAATGACTCAAGCCTGTCTTCACCCCTTTTAGCTGGGGGTAACTTTAGAAATAGCTATAATATTCTTCCAATTTTTCACAATAGCCTTTCTTGCTAAAAGTACTATATTGCCCTTAA